TTAAGAAGAAGTCCAGTGTTCACTTTCAGAGTCTTTGGTCTTTTTCTTCCTCTTACTTCTGATTCACATCACTTCTTCAAGAAGAGTGATAAAAATATGACTTTCCCATGCCTGTTTTCTTCTTTGGGGTAGCTGAGCAATTGGGCTGTGAGCAACTGGCAATGATAAGACAGGCAAGGATGATATGTAACTCAGGGAGATAGAATTCACCATAGGGGATAAAGCAAGACTCTACATGGATATTTAAAAGCAATATCTCATCATGTCAGCTCCATTCCACCAATATCATATTGATATTATAATAGGGGACCAGCATGATGGAAAGCAAGAAAAGGAGTTTGAGCAAAGGATAAATGGAAAGTAGAATCAGAGCAGATGGGACAAGGCTGTCATTTATATCTAAAGGTGAAAGGCTTCGTGTATTTGTCTCAAGGGTTTTTCTATTCTGAGCACACACTGATGCTGCAGATATTGTGTTGTCTTGAAAGAGACAAATATTCACTAAGTGAAAACAAGCCATAGCAGATGAATATATTAAATCTGGCAATTTCAGATATCATAGTTGATCAGTAAACCTTTTTTTAATTAGCATGTTTGCTTCTCTTCAGTAAGAGGACTCTCAGAACAATTTAAAAATATTTTTTTAAAAAAACTAAACCTACAAACAAGCACATTTATCATTCAGTAAGGCTATAAAGCAACATTAGTAGGTAAATGGCAGATAGTGGAATAATTGTACAAATTTTTGCTGTTGTGCTGAAAAGCCATAAAAAAAACTTGACCCCAGTAGGAGAAAACTTCATATTTGATACACCATAAAAAAGGAACCTTTTGATCAGGATTCACTGAATGTCAAAAAGGTGACTCAGTAGATGTATATGTAGTGTGCAACTTGTATTGAAAAATAAGTTTCATTATATTCATATACTCTAAAATAATCGTGTATAAAATTGCAGATTCAATAAAGAAACACAAATGGAAGTTTAGGGATCGGATGATCTGTGTACTTTCTGTTACATTCCTATAGAGCAGAGGTGGTATTCAGCAGATTCTGACCAGTTCTGGAGAACCAGTAGCGAAAATTTGGAGTAGTTTGGAAAACTGGCAAATTCCACCACTGACTCGAAATTTTACAGTATCCTTCCCCTGCCACGCCCACCAAGCCATGCCCACAGAACCAGTTAAAAAATTTTTAATCCCACCACTGCTATAGAGCATTTCCCGCCTTTCTTTCCCAATTTTCTTTACCCAATTTTCCTAAGGTCCAACGTATACAAATTATCACCCTCAAAACAGAAAAGACAGTAAGGGATGGTGTGAAGTGAAATGTGGAGGACTAAAAAAAGGCCATAGTGCAGTGACATTCCAGATTGTTAAATTGTAATTGAATTGGACCCATTTATTTCAATGATTAATATTATTGAAGAAGTCAGCTAGGGTGTCTTGACTGCCAAGCTGCATGATTCACCATGGCTTCTGAATAGAGAAGAAAGAACATATATATAATAACTAAAATACTAAGTAGCTCTATAACAAAGTGGTTTAGATATACTGTCCATCTTCAATTTATTTAATTTTGATGGCAACAAGTATACCATTCTAAAATCAATTTTGTGAAAATGACTTTAAATAAAATCCTAGTCATATGTTTATCCCAGAACACAATGGGAAGCCTTAAACCAGAGTAGAAAATATTATTTCTTGATTTATTTAAAAATATATTGTTTGCAACAATAGAAATGTACTCATCATGGAGATATGTTACCTCAAAGTAAGGATATAAAATAGTACTTGAAGAACTTTCTGCATATTGTGAACTGCCCCTTAAAAGCAGAGAGCTACCATAGAAATTACCAAACAGAAATATTGTCATAGGACTATTAGAGCAGATTCATTCTGCTTCATCAGTTTAGCATATCCACACAACCTGGCATGCAGAGAAGAAGCAGAGGAGATCTTTATAAGATAATGGAAAAGCTATACATATATATTTCCACAGAAAATTTACCCTCCTTTTAGTTCAAATGTCTCAAGAGTTAGATAATTTATAAGAAACAGAGATGGGAGGCTAGGAAATTGTAGGAAATTGGATACAACAAATCAACATGAATATATATTATTAATATCCTGTGCACTACATAAGTTACACATTGAAATGGACCCAATTGATGTTGGTTTAGTTTTACAAGCATTTCTGGATTCAAGTTGAAAAATAAAGAGGAAGACCATATTAGGGTAGGTCTTA